TTCCAACCCCTATGATTCTATGATATTTTGATTCCACTGCTATCAGGTATTTTTGCAGATAAGGTCTTACATTTCAATTTCAGGATGATATTAAGAGTCATTTAAAGGCAGTAAAGCAGTTGCTGGTGATCTTGGTCTGCCTTCCCAGACTTAGAACTTGTGTAATGCAAATTTCTTGGAAGTAACAAGCTTTGAGACAAGTATTTAGATTTGGACCCAACTTGCTTTATTATTTTTATAATTCTTCCTTGTTAGCATGGACAAGGAAGCCTCTTTCAGGTTTAAGAACAAAGAAATAAAACAACAAAGACTAATCTTGCTGGTGTGCCAAATGAGAACACTCACAATAAAGCAAGTCCAACTGTCCTGTCATCACTCCTCTTTATTTGATCTTCAGTGTAATCCCCACCACCACTTATTATTACCATAAAAGAGTAACTTGCATGCAATTCTCAGTTTTGTTGTATTAAAAAATTAAAGCAATCAAAGCACATTTCCAGATTTTCAAAGTGTTTCGCAGAAATTATATAGCTGCTTAATTAAAAAAAACAAAGTTTGCTTCAGAATTTGAGGAAAAAAAATAATAGGATTTTCTACCATTTACATATCAATGGTCTGACCTGCAAAAATCTTTGCTTGTAATAAGAAAGCAAGGTATTTGGCGAGATTCTGCATTTGTTTGTTACTTTATCTGTAGGGTTTATTCCTGCTTTTCTGAAGTCCTTGCAATTTATTATTGAAGAACCACCACAGGTTAATAGGCCTAGTTAAGTGGAAAAAAAAATCTTCATACTAAACTGAAAAAGGTGGTCAAAGAACTATTGAAAAATTCTGAAACAAGTAAAACAGTGGTTTGGATAAAACACAGTATCTCACAACACCACAAGATTTGTTGTCAATTAAAAACACAAGCTTCCTTCAACTTAGCCTTTAAATATACATTTATTTGGCCTAAATATTTTTCATTCTCAAGCTCCAGCTCAATGCCATATCAAGTGAAAATGCAGACACCAGCTTCCCTCAGACCCCAGTCCACTGGTCCCTGTGGTTTGGCTAGCCAGCCTTCCAACAGCAAGCCAAGGATTTGAGTCTAAGGAGGCCAGAACTGGCGTATGAAAAATCACAACAAAACAGGCTTTTTTCCTCAGCATTTCCCCTCCCAACTCCCGCTGCCCTACCTGGGAATTGGATATCAATGAACACCCAGATGAATCCAGAAGACTGGCTGATGACCTCTGCCCAACTCTTTTTTTAGTAATGACTTAATGTACAAAGTCACATGGTCAAGCTCCCCATAATGAGCTCTTAATAACCCTAATGCTCGTCTTCCAGCAGGAAGACTGATCATATTCACTGGGACTCAGAACAGGAGTTGAGTTGGGAATGCTGCATTCTGATCAGAGGTATCTCATGCTGTGGCATTCCATAGCACACCAAAGCATTTGTAATCCAAAAGTGATACATTTTCTGGCTAACCAGAGAACTGTATTTCTAATTTTGTGTTAACTAGTCCCTGTTTGTAGCAGAAAATATCTGCAGCAATTCAATAAAAAAAACTTCAAGTCAGTTCCAGGAGTCCAACCACAGGTCTGTCGCCCACTGATGCCCATGCTAAGGAGAATACATTCCTCTCAGCAGAAGGTATGTTCAAAATAACACTTATCTTGCTCTGCTCTACTTAGGTCAAACTTTCTACTTTGCATTAGTAGCTGAAGAGACTAAACAATTAAACAGGTAACAGCAGCGTGAGGAGTCTTATCAAGACATGGTCCAAAAGACTGATTGTATCATTTCAACTGAAGCATTTATTTTAGGTTCTTCTAAATTATTTCTAAAATGTCCTACTCCAGAACTCTCTCTCTGTAGCCTATTCCTTTAGGACATGAAATCAAACCATAATCAACCAAAGTTAAGATGGTCTTTAAGGCACCGTTTGCAACACATACAGAAAAAAGGACATGTGAAACAATCTGTTACAATATACTAATAGAGCTGGGAAATTCTAATTGAATGGGAGGTTACAAGACAGGTGATCTCCCTTTTTCTTCTCCTCTTGCAGGGCTTCTCTCATTCCATTTGACCTCACGTTCCATTCCCAGAGGAATTACATCAACACTGGATCCCCAATGCCATGGTCTGGGTTGCAGGTGAAGGAGATGGTGATGGCATAGCGAGTGCCCCAGTGAACCTTCTCCACCCGATGAAGGTTCTCTGATCCAGAGGTGAAAAAGGAAACCCGGCCTGTAAAGAAAGTGTTGGATCAGTGACATGGAGTTTGCCACTCAGCTATCAGCTCTCTACACAGTCTTGCTGTTGTCTCAGTCCAATGCTCCCTGGCTACCCGAGACTCCACAGGTTAAAGACAAACTGTTATGAGCTTATGCTGCACTCTGACAGCTTTATGTACCGTTGAAAACATATGTTAACCCTTTGTACTAGAAAGCTGGAGACATAATTCCACCGTATCTCATAGTTTATAAAAGGCAGGAGGAAGCCAAGAACATCTAAAGCCAGTTCTTAGCAACTCTAATTACAAAAAGCAACTCTAGTGACTGTCAAAGTATATCAATTTCCTCCCTGCTCTCCTTCTAGTCAGGGTTCTAATTTTAGACCAAAGAAGGAGGAAGTACTACAAAGGTGGCAAAGTCTCCAGTGAAAACTGCTCAGCAGGTTTACAAGCAGCTGTGGCAGCTTATCAGCCTTGTACCAAGTATTTCCTATAGCTTCTTGTGCACAGTCTGATTGCTCACTGTTCAGCCAGGTTGGAGAGTTATGTGTATAGTCATATACTAATTAATTTTCTTTAGAAACAGCCACTCCAATACATTGTCTTGGAAATTTTTTATTTTTTTTTTTTTTTTTAATAGATGCAAGTACTTCTGTGCTTCAACCTGTCCAAACTTTGATCACCACCCTGCCTTGGGCTTCTCTAAGCCTTAGGTGGCACCAAGGTGAATGCAATTACTTTGATAATGACAGCAGAGGTATAATAGCATCCCACTTGATGAAACAGCAAAATGGAGCCCTCTGCACTTCCACATGATTAAACTGTTCTAAGAACATAAGTGTTTGATGTTTAGCAATTAACTCAGAACTGACAACTCTGTAGGACTGCTCAAGTTGTGTTAAGAAGGCAATAATACTCCTGTGTGCAGCTGGTTCATGTCAAGGGCACGGGTTTTCCCTACTTGGGCTCTTTTCCACTATTCAAATTAAAGTTTGTTAAAAAGCTTATCATAGGGAGCTCCTATTAAGCATCTAACTCTGCCTGGAACTCATTCAAACAGGCAAAATGAAAGAGATGCCTACTTAAAATGTGCACAGGAAACTATTCCAAGCATTACACAACCTCCACTGCACAAATGGGCACCAGGCACGTCACTGGTTTTCTTTTCTAAAAGTCACTGAAAGATCCAGAAGTTCCTTTGCTTGCACAATCCTGAGCAGCACACACAGGAGGTCTGACCAAAACTACACTGGCCTCATGGAGTTCAGTTTACTCACTAATCTGGAGTCTCTTTCAGCAGTCTGTGTCCATTGCCCATTCAGCTGCAGTTCACATTTAATCATTCATAGTTCATCGTTTTTCATAACTGCCATGCAGAAGTCATACCATACTCTTCTCTGCCTGTGGCTGCACATCAACAGTTGGTAAAGCTCTCCCTACATAAAGAATAGATTCATTTGTATGCACGGCTCATTTATACCTTGGTGTCCTGCTTTTCTGGATGAAAGACGAAACGAAAGCAATGTACTCACCCCTACCCCATGAGTGTTGCATGAACAGTGCTACCCTCAAGGATTTCATATAAAGCCCCTGTGTCATTAATTCCTGTCTTCTTTTAAATCTTATTTCAACATCATTCAAGTACTCTACTATCACTTCCTCACCTACTCACGCAAAGCTTTGCCTTAAGCTGATTTTCAAGCTTTTTTGTTTGATCTCTCAGTAGTAGTAATTCAGAGTTGGACAAGTTTCAGTGTGTTGTTTAAGCCAGTTAAATTGGATTAAACTGGATTATTTGGTGATGCAAGATGTCTTTTAATTTCTTTCTTTAATAAATATGTCTTCTTATATATAGTATCTTATAGCTCCTTGTGCATCTGGTCCCATGCCTGTCAACTGTGGTGTCTAAGTCACTAAGCAGTTTTCAAACATCTTTTTCCTCATTTGGGAAGAACTTCTAAAACTTACTTTCTTGGCAAAATTCTGAAGCAAAAGCACACTCTCTCCATAGTGCTCTATTTTTAATAGTACGTGTTTTCAAAAAGATGTCAAAGAATGTTAATTCCTATCCTATCTGACAAAGCCAAGGGGTATGTGTCAATATTATGCAAAGACTCCTAAGGAAAGACAGAAGTTGTACCTTTGCCTGATAGGATGACTTCTAAGACTTTCAAGCACACCAAGTCTGGATTCTTCATCACCTTGCTTCAATACACAGTATATGAAAACCACTTCAAAAACTAAATCACCACAAGCAAGCCAGTTCCTTAAGAAAGTGCAGAACTACTCCTAGGTTCTACCCTGTCCTAGCTATTTTTTGATTGATTTTAAGTTAAGGTTTTAAACCCTGAAGTTCCAAACTAGGAACCCTATTAACAAATCAGTAGGATCATATGCAGTATGGGTCTGGTTTTAGCTGTGAGATTGCACTCAAAGGATTTGAAGTGCACTTTTTAAAGCGTTACACACTGCTACAACTAATGCAGCTGTGATAGGATTTCTCTCATCATGGATAGCAAGGAAAACATGCACAGGGCAGTTCCACTAAGCTCTCCAGGGCTATGAAATATTCATAGGGTGAATGCTGAGCTTCAGAAGAGACTAGTGTTGTACTACAGATGCTAAAAGAATGGCTACGCAATGATTCATTGCTGATTAAAATATATATGTACTACTTACTGTTTCCTGATGAAACATTTTTGAGCAACAAAAGCTCAGGAGAGTGTGTAAAATTAAAATCCCATTTCCTTTGTCCTTTCACTATTTAACAACAGCCTCAAATAAGTCTTTTCATTTTCTTCTCCCTTCCTCTGACCTGCCTGTGCAGATCTTTCCAACATACTTTTATGCTCCACTAAAGAATTCTTGACTAATACCTCCTGGCATATAATTTCAGTTTGATTTATGAACACCTACTGTTCAACATGTAAGCTTTTTTGAGATCACAAGCTAATACTCCACACAATTTTATAGTGTATTACCTAACCAAAAAAGTGCTTAATCCCTGGTCCTTAAGGGATGAACTTTTAAGAGAGGAAGGAACAGTAACAGGATCATCTCCTGTTTTGAGGTCCATACTTCTAAGCTTTCAGAAAGAAGCCATCTGAGCTACTTTCTGAAGGATGAAGATTAGAATGGAGGTGTCCTGGGGTTAGAAGTCATGCCAGCAGAAAAAAAAAAAGTAGTATTTTTTCTCCACTGAGATAAATTTATAATCCAAAATAATATTTCATCCTGATTGTGAACATTTGACTCATTTTTTCCAGTCACAGCAAGATGCCAATGACTCCACTGCTGCTTTAGTTTCACAATGCTTTGACTAGCACCTCAACCTCAGGGAAGAGTTTTACATCCGTAAGTCAAAGAACCACGGGCTGCCCTCTCACACCTACTATCTACCATCTCCTCAGCCCCAGTTTCCACTCCATGAGAAGTCAGGCAGGCAGAGCATGCCTCAGCAGTTAGCACAGCACACCAGAGCATTCAGTACTTTTAACATTTGGACATACAGCTCCCATACTAAATAAAAATATGAGTATTTTGTAGACACTTCTGTCAATGATCTTTGCTCTTTTCTGCCCACAACACATAAAACTTCCTCATAGCTGTTTCCAGCTTGCTTCAAGATTTCCATCAGGCTGTCTAGTACTAGGGGAGTGAGCTGTACTCCAGCCTAGTTCCCACGAAGAGAGCAATAATGGACTGGAGGAAGTTCCTCCCACACAAAAGCATTTGTTCTCACCTTCCTTATTAGAAAAGCCGAACACCAAATGATTGGTAAGAGTTGTGGTAACCTTGAGACCTGCAGGAGCCTGTTCTACACAATTAGCTTGCTTGCATATCTCCACAGGAACAGAAATAATCAATCCTTGCCTATCTTTAATTGACAATACCTGTATCTATGCAGCAGGTATCTAATGAAGCCTGATTACAAACTTGTCCAAATTTACTAGACAGAGAAGTTACTTGCTATTACAAATAAAAATCACTGACTCAAGCACAAATAATCAATCCTTGCCTATCTTTAATTGACAATACCTGTATCTACAGCTTGTTTTCTCTCCCTTTGTATTTTCTCTGCTTTCCAGCATTAAGTGCTAGAAAGCGTTTCAAGATGGAGTTTAGTCCAATAAAAGCTTAGCTGATGAGTTTGTTCCTTGTAGACTGCAGGAAGTGTTGTGATGCAGTCACTCCCCCTTCTACTTCCCAGATTTGCTTCCAGCTCTACTTCTGTACTAAGATTAAGCAAGGGTTTCATCCACACATGGAGCTGCTTCACAGTCCCTACTTTCTGTGGCCCTTAAGCATCCACAGAAGTTTTAAAAACTTAGAGGAAGAAAAGGATAAATTGTATTGGGGATGAATAAACTACTGTCATGGAAAGCTCAGGTGCCAGCTCATTTAAATGCACCATCCTCCCACAGTGACTGATGAGAAGAAACTGCCAACAAGCTCAGCATCACAGCATCCATCAAAGCTGAGCCTGGTCTTCAGTGTCACTCACACAAGTCAAGCTCTTCAGCACTGTCAGCTGGAGAAGAGCTTGTGACATGAGAAACAAGAGAGGTCTTGCTCCTCTTCCAGGAAGCAAGACTTTCATCATATAAGAGGTAGCCACTTTTCTCCTGACTTTAAGAATCAATTTCTGCACTGATGCACAGGAATCATTATTTATGAAGATATTACAAGTGCCAGTCACAAGCTCCACTCCTATGCATTTTATGTGATCCTAATTTAGATGAAGCAACACTTATTTTCAGGAGTAATACTTAACAAGCACCAAAATCAACTGATACTTCACTATGCAGCAATTATGTCTCATTTAATTATTCAGCCACTAGAGGAATATACATATTAAATATGAGCTTTTGCTTTCCCTGTTTTTAATCACATCCATAATTACCCCTTAGCAATGAATTATTTTTAGATGCATTCAAAAAGTGTAGCCACAACAAGCAGGTGGGAAAGAATTATGCCCTCAGCTACGTATCGCAGTGAATACGTCAGTGTTCCC